GTGGACCATTTTTTAGTCTGCCATAAAGATACTTGTATTATTTTTGTTTTTATTATTTCTTGTAGTGTGAGTCTTGAAATTATAAACATTCAAGGCAATAAATGTGTCTAAATTGATTAGAATTTAGTTACCTAACTTGTTCAGAAACATTATTTTAAGACTCTTGGGGCTTATACAGAAGGTTGAATTTAATGTTTATGCTGCCTCACAAAGGGTTTTTGTTGTTTGGAAACAGTCCCTCCTCTGAAGGGACTGTACCATGGACCTTGTGCTAAATATGCTTTGTAGCAAATAATGTTCTAATTTGCTATCCGTAGGTTGCTTAAAAGCAGCTTCTTTATGGTTGCAGCTTATATATATGTAGCCAATAAATGAGACTTCTATCTTCCTTTTTTTTATTATGAAGAAAAAGAAAAAAAAAACAGAAATAGGGTACAAGTTATACAGAATTTCAGAAAAAATAATAGGAAATCACTAGTTAATAGATTACATATTGTCATCTTAGAAATAGTTGTTCAAGTTACAAAATTAAAGCATATAAAGTAGACTTTCAAACAGTGAGACTGGAAACAGTTTTGTTCAATGATCCAACAAAACTCAGTAATATGGTTATCTATTTTATACACTAAAATATATATGCAGTTATATTCTTTAGAGCACTTTCTTTTCCTGTACAATGACAATTTTGTACAATGACAATTACACATTTTGGGTTTTATTACTCCCACAGTTCTTATTACTTTTTTTTGAAGAGTAAAACCAAATGTGACAGAACAGAGTCAGTCAAATCAGAAGGATGAACATAATAGATAATGCAAAAACAAAATACAAGGTGATCAATAATGGTTACCATACTGCCTCTTGCTATCTTAAAAAGAATTGCCTATATCATCAGTTATAATAAAATTGAACAAAACAGTAAAGAATAAAACCAAAACATTGGAGACATTACAGGGCTTTAAAAGAAGATAATAGTCAACCGGAATGGGCGTCATAATGAATCTTATAGTCTTTACAGTTGTTGCCTATACTTTTGAACTTGGCATTGTCAAGCAAAGCAGAATAGAGGAAAATCAGTCAAAGCAAGATGGTGAGGGCTATACAGGGTTTCAAATCAAGTTAATAGGAAATCAAAGTGGGTTACTATAATGTATCCTGCTATTTTTTTATTTTTCCTTTAATTAAAAAGAAAAATAAAAAAGTAAATAATTAAAAAAAAAGAGACTGAGATAAAAGAGGGCATAACAACAAAACAGCATAGGTCAAAGCATAACCATTTAAGCAAAATAGTGTTTCACCACAAGATATCCCAACATAAAAGTAGTTACCATAATGTCTCTTTCCTTGAAATCTTTCAGTATAACTTCGTATACTGTAGCACCAAACATATCAAGACAATGTAAAACCACTCAAGAGAATGACAGTATTTAGAACCAACTATCAGAAAATGAACAATGGTTTCTGTATAATCTCCTTGTCCATAAAAGTTTTTGCTTATATTATCACATATAATAAAACCCAATAAGATACAACCTGTTAAGACTGATGGAGACAGAAGAATAAAAGCTTGATGGGACTTCAAAGCAAGATGATACTAAATCAGCACTAGCTATTAGGATGTCTTGTTTTCTCCAAAATAGCTGTTCCTACCATGCAATCTTCTCTGCCTCATTTCTGTTGAGCTCTTTTTCTGTCAATTGTTGTCAGTTTGTCTTCTTCATTTTGCTTTCTGCTCCATTCATTGTGGTCTCTCTGCCACTGTTTCTGTAGTCTTGGTATTTTCCTTTTTTAGAATGTCCTGCAGTATTCTGTGTAGGATTGAATTGGTGGTTGCAAATTCCCCTAGTTCCTCTTTATCCTGGAAGCACCATGATTTTCCATCAACTCTTAGGGACAGTTGTGCAGGATATGTCAATCTTGGCTGGAGGTTGTTATCTTTCAAAGCTTGAATTATTTCCCCCCACGCTCTTCGTGATTTGATGGTTTGTGCCGAGAAGTCTGCTGTAATTCTGATGGGTGTTCCCTTGTAAGTGATCTGTTTCTTGTCTCTGACGGCTTTTAGTATTCTGTTCTTATATTGGATTTCTGGAATTTTGATTATTGTATGCCTGGGTATAGCTCTGTTTGGGTTGTAGGTGGCTGGTTGTAGGTCCTGTATGTCTCATACATCTGAGTATCTTTACCTTTTGCTAAATTAGGGAAATTCTCTTGGATTATTTCTGTGAATAGCTTTTGTAGTCCATTTGTTTGTGTCCCTACTTCTTATTTTATGTTCTTAATTCTTAGGTTATAGATCCTCTTATCATTTTCTAGCCTTTGTATTATTGCTGTTTGTTTTCTTGTTATTTTTAAGAAGTTTTTCTTTTCATGCTCCAATATTACAAGTCTGCCCTCCAATTCAGATAATCTATCCTTAGTTCCTTTCAAGCTGTTATGCTAGCTTTCGATACAGTTTTTAGTTTCCTGGTAATCTCTTTGAACCTGCTTCACATATTCTATGTTTTCTCTATTTTCTCCATCAAACAATTCTCCCTGTTTTTCCTGTTCTTCCATTCCACTATCTGTTTTTTCTTGGGCGGTGCTTAGCATTTCTCTAACTATTCTACTTATATCTTGCTTTATTTCATTAAATACTTCATTTTTAAACTCATCTATGAGGCTCTGGAGATATCGCTGTATGTCTATTGGTGCCGTGTCTGATATTGCATGTTTTCTTTCTTCCTTTGCGTTTCCCTTTCCTGGATCAGTGTTCTCAGGATTGGGGATTGAGGACCCTTTCTTGTTGCTTCCTCTTCCCATACTTTTTGTTCCTTCCATACAAGTGAATGTAGGAGGCCCAATTTTTTTTTCTCTTTTTCCGTTACAGTTTGTTTGAATTGCGCCAGCTAGGTGTTCCCGCCCACTGCAGTGTACTAGGGAGACACAGACCTGGGCAGCCTCTGCTGAGCCCGCCCCTCCAGGTCAACCTACCGAAGGCTTCACTGCTAGGGTGCACCTCCAGGCGCTGGGACCTGTGTTGGGTTCGCCTACTGGGTCTTTTTCAGCAGCATCACGCAGGCCAGGCACTCCCCACCAATCCCGCTTGAGAGGGGAATATGTGACTGAAGTCACTGCAGTGCCCAGTTCCGGCAAGTCTGCCCAGTCCCAGTATGTCCTTTGCTGGAGCCTCCTACTCTAAGAAAGGGTCCCTGTTCCGTTCACTCACCGCAAGTCGATGTGGGGCTCCCTGCTAGTCCCGCTCTCAACTCCATTCGCAGATTCCTGCTCTCAGAACTGTTGGGCGTATCTCTCCCTGCCCTGCAAATTTGGACATAGCAGCGGCAGCAGGAAATTCAGATCACAGCTTCCAGTGGCGTGGGTTCTAGCTTCTGCGCTGAGATTTTATCTTTTCCTGTTATAGCACCAGGATTGGATTTCCAGTTGGCTTCTCTTAGCTTAGTTCATTCCTGGGTCAGCAGGGTGTATCTCCCCTTGCTTAGGACTCCTTGTACCGCAGCATTCCTGGATTCTAAGCAGGGTATCTCAGAGAGCCTCCGTAGCTGCTGCTATCTATCCACCATGTTGTTACGGAAGTCTATCTTCCTTTTTAAAATAGGTTTATTGCTGTATAACTCATATGTATACAGTTCACCCATATAAATTATAATAATTTAGTTTTGTTTTGTATTTTCAGTCATGTAGTCACTATTACAATCAATTTTGGAATATTTTCATCACTTCAGAAAGAAACCCTACCTTCTGCAGCAGGCAAACCCTTCAGTCCTAGACAACAATTAATTTGCATCTTTATGTATTTCCCATTTGGACATTTTGTGTATCAGTATGCTGTTTTATGTCTAGCACCTTTCAATTAGCACAATATATTCAAGGTTCATCCATGCTATTGCATGGATCAGTCAGTGATTCTTTCTTTTTGGTGGCTAAATATTTCATTGTGTGGCTACACCATTCTACCCATCAGGTAATCAGGTGGTGGACATTTGAGTTATTTCTATTTGGTCCTCTACCTCACAATTGTAGTGCATGATACACTGTGTCAGCTTGAGAAGTTTAGAAGCTCAACTAAGTAACTCAGCAGTTCTACATCCTAATGTGTAGAGGACAGGTCCTTACTGCTCTAGAATGTTGTTCATTGTGTCAACTTGAGAAATTTAGAAGTTTAACTAAGTAACTAAGCAGGGGACCAGTGTCCTCACTTTGTAAACATCCTCATCCTGTGCAATGGGAGGGCACAGAGATGGGGTCAGTACTATACCTACCCTAGGGGGTGGTAGCCTGCATACAATGTAAGGGAGGAAGAGAGGCCTGCTCTCCCCATCTTTTGCTCTTGTTGCTTATACAGTCTGCCTCCCCTCTTGAACTGTTGCCCTGTGCCTTGCCATCCTGTTTTGGAGCCAGCTGATTATAAACTGAAACCTCCACAAACTCTGAGCTAAATAAACCTTCCTCTTTAATTTGGGCATAAGGTATTTTGTGCCAGCAATGAGAGCAATGTAACTAAGACAGCAGTTGAAGATTAAAGTATCAGTTTTATCAGTGATAAAGATGTCTCTAGCATAAGGCCTAACTGTAATTTTAAGCCCCTAAACTGTTGCTCCTCTTCTCAGGTCCTCAGCTTCTTCCCTGATGCAGAGGAGCACAGTCTGCATGAATAAATTTATTTCAGTATGAGCATAGACTGCTCTTTGGACAGGTTCTTTTATGGGTCAGAAATAAAAATGCCATATATGCATCTGTACAAAGAGAGGAAAGATGGAACTGCAGAAGGGCAAGTGCTCCAAGATAGACAGCAACGTGGACAGGAATCTGGGAGGCAGATGGAACGATTCCTTCTAACAGAAACATGGTAGCCATTTTAGCCATCTGCAAGTCTTATTCATTAAAATTAAAAATATTTTTATTCATGAATTACTAAAAGCTCCTCCAAAGCAAACATGTAGACCTTTGGACAATGAAGCAGCTATTAATTCTGATACAGCTTATCATCTTGTTATCTACAGGTTTCTCCACCAACTAAAGGAAGAGAATTCTGAGTTAATTAATAAACTGTGGACTGATATTCAGCAGAAGCTAGCAGCACAGTCACAAACAGCAACCCCGCCGGGAACTCCGTCTTCTGCTCCTGCCACGGAGGAACAAAGAGGTTTCTTCTTCTCCTTCTGCATTATATCTGTCTGCTCTGTTTGTTTAGTTCTTTGTGGAACACAACAATATTTTCTAAAGGAGTGTAACTTCTGACCCCCTTATGTAGCCTAATTGAGTAAAATACTAATGGACTCATCACTTGAAGTACTTTTTAAAGGAAGTATGTTCATTTGGGATACTTTTTGCCATGTTCCCTTATTTAGCTGCTCTGAATGCTACTGATGCCGTCAAGAGAATGCAAAGCAGACTTCAGCCTGCAGAATCTCCCCGGTCCCTAGACTCAAGCTACATTGTGGGACAAGTGCTGAACTCAAGGAAGCAAAAGCAGCTACTAAACAAAGGTTCAGTTCTTTAATTTGCAAAGATGAACAATTAAATATGTAACCTAACACAGCTATCTTAACCACTTAGTAAATGTTTTTCTTTCCCTTAAATCATCCAGTTGGATCTAAGTATGAGCTTGTTGAAGGATAGCTAAGAAATCCTTCCTATTCCACTTACATCTGAAAACACAGTTCTAGTGTATTTATTATAGCAAATTTAAGCTTTGTTTAAACTGTAGTTTTTGTTTGTTTGTTTTGTCTTTTTGAGACAGGGTCTTGCAGTTCAGACTGGCCTTGAGCTCACTTTGTTGCCCAGGCTGGTCTCGAACTTGGCAATCGTCCGCCTGCCTCAGCCTCCTGAGATTACAGGAGTGTGGCCCTGCGCCCAGCTGAATCTGTATAGATTTTTAATGGTAATATGGTAACAATTTCCATTAAAACTTTCTATAATCCATGATCAGCAGTCAGCAAGTCTCTCTAGTAACTTTGTAGTTGTAATTTTTTGATCTTAATGTAGGTTGACTTCTTCTTCTTAGTGAAAAGAAAGCCAGATTTGTGTCCTCCGTCCAACCAGAAGAACACGCTATCAGTGAGCACAGGCTCTGCAGACTTGCAAAACAGCAATAATTCCAGCTTGGATGTCCTCAGACACATGATACACGAGGTGGAGCATGAAGTGGCAGAATACGAGCAGTGCACAGGACGTGAGGTCACGGCACTGCAGGGTGGTCAGGGCCTCACAGGCTTCACTTTGTGCCTGGTCAGCTCTCTGTGTCGCCTGGTTCGGTATCTTAAAGAGGTAAGTGTATGGGGGTTATGTATTTTTAAAAATAGATTAACCGTCCAATTCAGATGTTTCATTTGCTGTGGCGATGTTTTCCTAAAGCCCCCTTTTATTTTTTAAATTTTCAGTTACTTATTTATCCTTTTTTTGGTATGGGGGATGGCCTCACATCCCCAGCCCTTCTTAATTTTGAAATTGAATCTCCCTAAGTTGTTAAGCTGCCCAGGCCGTGCTGGAACTTGCCTTTCTTCTGCCTCAGTCTCTGATAGTAGGTGTCTCTGCCCCATGCCTGGCTTAAAACTGCTTTTTAAAGAAAGATTTATTGTCCTGTCATACTTACTAAAGTCTTCACATTCTTTTTACCTGCAAGTCAGCTGTCTTCAGAAATATGCTTCCGGTGCTTGCAAAGTATTACAGGGGTAAAAGCATGTTTACCTGATCACTTATTTTACAATGCTAAACCATTTAATGGATAGAATTAATAGAGATTAATGTTATTTATTTTTAATTATATTTTAATAAACTTACATTTTGAATTGGTGATGTATATTATACAAATTTTATACAAATTTGAAGATGCAGAAAAGTGTAAATGAAGAATCTGATTCTCGTTCCTAATTTCCAGCCAAACTGTTTGCTTCTTCATAGCTGTTATTGCTGGTTACCAGTGCATCCTTTTAGAGGTGGTCCGTATATGTTCAAACAATATGTAAATACTGCTAGGCCTGGTGGTACGTACCTGTAATCCCAGCACTCTGGAAGGCTGAGGATTGCAAGTTCACACCCAGCCTGGGCAACTGAGTGTCTTAGCAAAATCTTGTCTCAAAATAACCACTCTGGTTTCTCTTCAGGTCATATAAATCTTTTGTCTTCAACTAAAAAAATTTTTTGAAAAATGGCTGGGGATGTAGCTTACTGATTGAGGAGTACTACAGGAAAAATCCCTGGTATTACAGGAAAAAAAAAGTAAATGTGTATCCTTTCACTTTCTTATGTTAAAAATGTAGTTATTTGTATACTGTTTTGTTCATTGTATTGAAAGAAGGGGTAAAGCAGCACATTTTCTTCACAGAGTATAGGAGCTGGGGATTTAGCCCTGCAGCATAAGCGCCTGCCTTGCAAACGCGTGGTCCTGAGTTCAATCTCTGGTACCAAAAAAAAAGTATAAGTCTTAACAAAAAGTTTTTAAAACATTTGTGCTTGCTTTGGTAGCATATATACTAAGATTGGAATGATACAGAAAAGATTAGCATGCCCCTGCTCAAGAATAACACACAAATTCATGAAGCATTTCATATTTTTAGTATATGTGCCAATTCTATAAAATGAATGTGTAATTACTATGTGCAATTATGCACATAGTTTGCAATTATTTGTCAAAAAGACAAACAAAAACCAGTTTAATTTGCAATTATGTGTTGCAAATATAGACATAAATGTTAAAATTTTCATTGCTGTCATATGTGTGTCTTTGTAATTATTTTGTTTGACAGCTTTGAACAGAAACTTTTAGTCTTCAGTATGTTCTGATGGTTTTCAATTTTTCTTTCAGAGTGAAGTTCAATTACGTAAAGAAATAGAGACAAGGCAACAACTGCAGCAGATCTTAGGTGATCATCGAGAGCTCATTGATGCTCTGACAGCTGAAATTCTTCTGCTTAGAGAAGAAAATAGTACCATACAGGTACTCAGATGCGGTCCCAGACTTTTGTATTTGTAATGGTATAAACCGTCTTTGTGCATGTATGTGATCTCCTTAGAGCTGCATTTGGTTCAGCTGATTACTCGCACTCATTGTTATCGTCAGTGCTAGGTGTTACTATTGGAGGTGCTATATTAGAAGCTCCTCCTTACGGTACAGTAAGTCTGCTGTCTTTAAGAAACATATATTTGGTGTAGGAGACAGCATGTACATTTAAATGATAATTATTAATACTGTGATAGTTAACCCAAAATGTGAAGTAAGTGTTACAACAGCCATTTTTAATTTCAGATCAGCAATAGGATAAACTTTCCGGACCCTCCTTCAGTCATGGCGGAGGGATTTACAGCTGTTTGCAGTACCTTTATATTTGATTTGCTACTTCACTAATTCTGCTTTTTTCTTAAAAATAAAAACAAAAAACATTTGCAATACTCCTTTTAGAAAACCTAGTGGTTGCCTACTACATTGAGCACTCCTGCCTTATATGCCTTTGATGCTCTTTGGATATCACTGTTTTGCCTTGACCACATAATGATGATACACTGACGTATGTGCTTATCAGGGAAACTGTGCTGCTCGCGTGCAGATTGTTTTATTGATCTTTTTGTTCGCATGAGTAGTTATTATTACTTACATTTATCAACATAAGGGTTGCAAAAAGAATAGTAGAGAAGTTTGTATCAATAGACATTAGCTAAAGATGTATGATTTTTTAAAAAATTTAATAATATAGTCCACATTCCATTCCAGCTTTTTAAAGTGTATAATTCTATATTTTATAGTTTAGCCAGAGGGCTTTGTACTAGTACCATCATCTCAATCTGGAGCATTTTCATTATCCCAGAGAGAAATCTCATGCCTATAAGGAATCACTTTGTATTCTTCCCTCTCTGTGGCCCTTGCATTCAGTAATCTGTTCTCTGTCTTTATGCATTGCTTACTGTAGACATTTCATAGAAATGGAATGATGTAATATGTGGTCTTGTATGTCTTGCTTCTTTCATTCACCATGTTTTTAAGACTCACTCATTCTGTATCATTTGTATTTCATTCCTTTAGATCACCCATGATGTCCTATTTTATGGACATGCCACATTTTATGTATCCATTCTTCAGTTGAAAATTTGGATAATTTGTACTTTTAGACTACTATAAATGTTGGCGCTAGAAAGTCATTTACATATTTTTGCACAAACCAGATTTCAGTTCTCCTGGGAAGATTCAAAAGTTTAAAATACATTGATTCATTTAACAAATCTTTCTTGAACACCTTCTTTGGGCCTGGCATAGTTCTAAATGCAGCAGTACAGTAGTGAACAAAATATAGAAATCCTTACCCTCATGGGGCTTGCATTTTAAACAAATCCTAAAAGAAGTGTAAAGTATTAGTAAGCTGGATGGCAGTATATACTTTGAAGAAAAACAAAGCAAATAAAAGGCATAGGGAATGCCCACAGTGGTTGGGATGTGGTTATAAAGGCAGTGAGCGATGTCTGCCCGAGGAGGTGACATTTGAACAAAGACTTGGAAAAGATGAGGGACCCAGTGTGTAGAATAGATGGCAGAGAGAATGGTCTAAGCAGAGGAAAATCAGGGCCAAAGGTCTCGTGGTGGGAGTGCAGCGGTGAGCGAAGAGTGGTCAGGAAAACCAGTGTCAGTGGAGGGTGTGGGGTGTGGAAGGGGAGAGCAGCAGGGACAGTGTCACATGCGGATTTGCATATGGATTGAGGACTTGGGCTGAATGAGATGGAGAACTACTGCAGGAAAGAAAGCTGATCTGATTTGGGTTTTAAGAATCACTGGGCTGCAGTGTTGAAGCTAGATTAGAAATCCCTGCTGTATTCTGGGTACAGACAAGAGAAGTACCTGACAGTTTCATTTATTAAGTGGTCAGGTCTAAACAGCTTATGTCTAAGTAACTTCAGAGCTTTATGAAAAAATACACATAATTTGAGAGGAAACTTAACTAATTTTATTCTTAAGTACCTACAGTTATTAGGTGAAGGTGCATACATTTTGAGCCGTGTACAACTTTCCAAAGAATTTAGAATCATACTGGACACCATTACTCTTACTTCCTTTTCCACATTGATTTTAATTCAGAACTTTTTTTTTCTTTCATAGTGCCTATTAAAATCTAGTCATGAGAAGATTTGAGCTTATCAAAGGAAATGTAATGCAGTGTTTTATTGAAACTGTGAACTACCCCAAGCTAGGAGTTCATTGATGTTTGATAGACCGTCATGCTTCACAGTTTCTCTTGAAAATTGAAAATGTCTTCTGGTGCCCCTCTCAGCACATAGTTTGGGAACAGGACTAGACTAGGTGACCAAACACTGAAGCAGGGAGGAATTGTTGGAGTAATTCGATTCAGATGTGGCAGCTTGATCTAGAGTGGAAGAGGAGAGGATGTGAAAATTGATTAAATTCAGAATATCCTTTAAAAGCCAAACAGACCTATTGGATATTTAGTGAAGGAGAGGATGTGAGAGGAGAAAGAGTTATAGGCAGTTCCAGAGTTTTGGGCTGAATAATCAAAATGATGAAGTTTCTGTTTATGAGGTGGAAAAGGCTTCGAGAAGTGTTTTGATTTTGTATATCAAAGTATGAGTTTATTTGAGTCCTAAATAGAAATATTAAGGTTACTGGGTATATGAGTGTGAAATTTGGGTTGGTGATCTAAAATTTTTAGGGTACTTAATTTAGCAGTAGTTCTAATTTTTCTAATGTCTGGCTAAAACTGATTTTTATTACATGTTTCTGTTGCTCTAAGCATGTCTAAGAAGTACAGATGCTTAGGTAATAATCCTGTTACTTTCTCTTTATTGCAAGGTAGTAGCAGTTTATACACTTCTCTTTTTACGTCTGCCTGCCATCTTCTCTGCTTATAATGTATTTAACAACAGTTCTTAGAAAGACTTGCATCATGTGGTTGTAATCAAATATGTTACTTTCAGATGATCTTTTTATATCTTTAGTGTGAAAAATATCAGTAACAAAACAAAGTCATTTAAACTTCTAGCCAGTCCAGTTGGTTTTTAAATGTAAGATTGGAATTTCAAACTCTTGCATTCCTCTATGTGAAAAAAAATAAGCCAATGGTTGCGATATTTTATGTGTTCCGTTAAATAAAAGAAGACATAAAATATTTAAAAACATATATGAGATATATGCATGGACAAATATGAATATATCTTTATACGCAGTATAATCAGATGTCACGCATAAAATATAAAGTTGTAATCATATTGCATATAGAATTTGTGCTTTTCTCTTTCCCTTAAACATTACTTCATTGATATTACCATAAATTTTTATAGTGTTCATCTTTTTTAGTTTAAATCCCCATTGAGTATTCTATTGAGTTTCCCGCTCCTGATGTGCCTATTTCTTGGGGTAACTTGAGAATCATTTGAAATAATCTGTATGAAGAGTTTTTATACATTGAAAGCCCTGCACAAAAGGTTCTTATTTTAATACCAGGGTATTTCTTAATAGCCCATGATTTACTTAACTATTTCTCTATCACGGGCCATCAAGAATATTTATAATTATGAATAACATTGTTTTAGAGTTTGAACAAAAGTCTTCAATGCTTGGAGGATTTAAAATAATGGTATCTACACACATATCCTTTGTTTGGCTCGCTTTCTATGTGATGTTTGATGTTTCTTATGATGATGACACTGTTTCATTTATTCTCCAGGCTAGATTTCAGCAGTACATGGTCACAACAGATGAGCAACTTATATCACTAACACATACCATTAAGAACTGTCCTGTGATAAATAACTCTAGACAAGAAACTCAGGCTTCAGCTTCAGAAAAGGGAGCCACAGATAGAAGAGCTGGGGATAGTCCAGGTAGGTATATTCTTATTATCCCAGAGCATCATTAAACTATTTAATGGCCTTAGTGCAGTGGTGGCACATGTGCCACAGTAGGCTATTTGTAATAATGAAAGCTCTAAAAAGTTTGCCGTCACTGCCTTAGAGTAACAAGCAAACCAACTCCGTACCCCTGAGCTTAGATGGAATTACTGGCTATTTAGGCATAACTGTATTATCACTACTACAATTGTCACTCCTTTCCCAGCTGGTATTTATGAATGCTTTTTGAGCCTTACATGTATTATCTTATTTAATCCTCTTAATAATCAAATGAGGTAGATATTAATGTTATTGTTGTATAAGGAAACTAAGGCTTAGACAGTACTGGCAACTTAGCAGTCACATGGGTAGAAAGTAGCAGAACCAAATACCTAGATGAGTGAGACTTTAGTGCCAGCACTTTTAATCATGGTGTCTGATACAGAAGGATAAGGGATGGTATTAGAAAGAGAAAAAACCCTGAGTTTTGGAAATTTATAACTTTTGTTCAGATGTGATGTTTTGAGATCCTTTATCTTGTGTGCCTTCATGAACTATAAGCTTAATAGGATATTTAGGTTTTTGTTTTATTTTTCAGTAAATCTTTGAGGATTGTGTACATTGTTTTATGTGTGTACAATTATTTTCTTTGGATAGATTCTAAGAAGTGGCAGACTGAACTTTAATTTGCATGAAACAAATATACTGGCTAGGGCTCTGTCTTCTGGTGGGATATTATTAATTTCTCTCAAGAAATATGTCAGTGCTTTACAGTTTTCAGAGTTAAGCTTCACTACTGAGAAAGCTTTTAGTTCTTCAAAGGTTAAAAAAGCTGGAAGTGAGTATATTACAAAGTTATTGTTAATTATCTTCATTGCACGTGAAAAGAGTGGGAAAGATTTATGTAGTGAAACCAGTTTAGCATCTTTGTGAGTCTTGGATCATGTAACTCTGTCATAGATATTTTTCTTGTTGCCAAAACAAAATCCCGGACACCCAAAATTAAAGAGTGTCTTAGTTACTTTTCTGTCTTGCTGGGACAAAATACTCGACACCCCAAATTAAGGACAGAAAGGTTTATTTAGATCACAGTTTGTGGAGGTTTCAATCCATACTGAGCTGGCTCCAACGCAGCTAGATGTGGCAGAGCTGTAACAGTTCAAGGCAGTGGAAAACAGCAAAAGCAGCAAGAGCAAAAAAAGAGGGGAGCAAGCCTCTTTTCTTCTCTCACTTTGTAAGCAGGCTCCTGTCTTAGGGTGGGTGTAACATTTGTACCATCTCCATGCCCTTCTCTTGAACAGGCCTACGATGTTTACAAAGTGAGGACCCTGATCCCCTGCTGAGTGAGGACCCTGATCCCCTGCTGAGTCAGTTAGTTAAACTTCTAAACTTCTCAAATTGACACAATAAATCAGCCATTACATCCTAGAACATAAAAGCCACTCCACTATGTCCTTTACACCCTAGAATATAGAACTGCTAAGTCACTTAAGCTTTTAGACTTCTCAAATTGATACAATATATCAACCATTAAAAAGGGAAAATGGTTTATTTAGCTCACAGTTTGTAGAGCTTACAGCAGGGTAGAACATGGCAAAGGGGCAACTGTTCATGGTGATAGAAAACAGCAAAAGCAGTAAGAGAGAGGCCAGCTTTTTCTGTCCCTTATATTGTATGCAGGTAACTGGGATTAAGGCACTCGGGAGTGAGGCAGGAGGGTCCTAGCAAGTTCAAGACCAGTCTGGGCTACAAAGTGAGCTCAAGGCCAGCCTGAACTGCAATGTGAGACCCTGTCTCAAAAAAGAAAAGAAAAAAAAAAAAAAAAGCAAAGCAAATAATGCAGAATTCTAAAGTGCCAGGCAAACATTTGGAGGTGGATTTTTTTTTATGGCTTTTCCCCTGCTTAGTTCTCTTCTCAAACATAGCAACTTCTTGCCAGTGCCATCCTCATAGGAGTCTACCTATCTATACATTATTGGCAAAGAGGACGTAGCCCAGAAAGTGAAGGTTCTACGATTATGTCTGGATGTCCCTGAAAAGCATCAAGTGCTCAGTGTCAGGGCTTGTGGAGGAGAGGAGCTATAGCTGGCTGGCTGTTGGGAACAGGAGCCTGATTGGAAGAGGTGGGTGTCCAGGGATGTGACCTGGGAGCACCTGTCTGCTTCCCTGGCTTCTCCCTTAGCTCTCTGCTTCTGAGCTTTTGTGATGTAAGCAGCTTCTTCCCCACCAGGCCCTTCCATCATGCTGCCCTGGAGCCAGCTGACAATGGATGAAAACCTTAACAGGGTGAGCCAAAATAAAACCTCTCTCCCTGTGAAAATTGTGGGTGTTGAGTTTTGTGTCTCATTGATGAAGAAAGTGACTAAGACAGGCCATTGGGATTTTGCACTCTACTTACACGGACTTAGGAATCCATATCTAAAATGTGCCCACAATGGCTTTTTGTTCCTTGTATACTACCATCCTCTTTTCTTCTGCAGAGGCTCCTGTTGTAAGTTCTAATATGTCTGTGCCATTGATGTTTAGCGGGGAAGAAGTGGTTGATTTTGTACAGGAAGAGTTGCCTGTTAAACTGTCTCAGATACCAACCCCCCCTGACAGTGCACATCTGGCCAGCAGTTTTCCAGCGCATGTGTTTGAGCCAGCTGTGTTGTTAACACCACCCAGGCAGAAGAGCAATGCAGAATTCTCTCCTCTGCAGGATGGTAAGCAGGCTTCTCCTTTAGGAGATATCTCCTTTAGGTGATAACTTTAGTTGTTATGCTTACTTCTGTAATGTATTATGTTCACTGTTGGCTGAAAAACATTATTGAAAAAAAACACTGATAATTGCCTATAATTTATTAACTGAATAATAAATTTTCAGGGTGACTTATGCTAGTGTTTTATACTGATAGAATAAAGTGTGACATTACACATCTGTTCCACTGAACATTGTAAATATTAAGCTCATATCAGAGGATCAAAGCCCAGAGCATTAAGTTGCAGAATAAGAATTCTCTTTGGGCTGGGGATTTAGCTCAGTGGCTTAGGTGCCTGCCTGGCAAGTTCAAGGTCATGAGTTCAATCCCTGGTACCAAAACAAAACAAGACTTCTCTTTGTCCCCATTGTCCTGGAGTATATGAAAAACAAACAGGAGGAGATTATGTTCCAGAGAATAAGGAAAGTTTGAAGGGAAAGATGAGATGTGTGACCCAGGGATTTGGGTAAGTTAGATCTCATCATCATATTAATGACTTTCTCATTCGAAGTTTTCAGATCAGTCAGTTGAGGGAATTTTATAACAAAAGTAGACAAACAAACAGAGAATTAGACACATGGAGATTTTTAAATACAAACATTAAACTATTTTGCCAGTCCTTAGCTCAAATGATTAATGAATGGCCTTCCGAACTATATAGACCTCTTCACTGTTGGAAAATGAAATTATTTGTCCATATGTGCATTTCCTGAAGCTTTCTCTTTCATTGCAAAGGGTACTTCAATTTGAAAAAAGTTAAAAACTATTTAAGACTCTCCTTCAAGCATTTTTTTTTTTTTTTTTTTTTTTTTTTTTTAGTAGCAGGGATCAAACTCGTGACCTCATGCTTGCCAGGCAGGCACTTATGCTGCTAAGCTAAATCCTCGGTCCTCCTTCAAGCATTTTTTGAAGAAGAATACTCAGCTATGATTTGCCTGAATTTTTTATTTCTTTAAAAATATATTCTCCCATAGCAGAACAGGAAAATAACTTTTATTGTTGTTGAGGCACAAAAATTCTGTAAAATTTTCTGCATTGGTGTATGTTTCCAATAAAGAACATGAAAGGAAATGTCAAATTCTAGTTATTAAAATTTTGCTTTGATGGCTATGATGCACCTATAATGCCTGTCACATCAGAGTGGTGTAGTTGGAGACAGCTCCAGGCTCAGTCAGAAGTGCTGGCCTGCCCATCACTGACCAGCTTTAAGATGTGGGCTGAGATTCTGACCATTTTATAACAAACGTAGACAAATAAAAAGAGAATTCGACACGTGGAGAGTTTTGAATAAAAACATTAAACTACTTTGCCAGTCTTTAGCTCAAATGATTCATGAATGGCCTTCCGAACTATATAGACCATCACTGACTAGGTTTTTTTTGGATCTCAATTTTCCTATTTTTTTATACAGGAGGATTTTTCTTTAATATCTTTTCTAATTCTCCAATTCTATAATTCATTATTGCCCCTTCAAAGGGCCAGAGAGTTACTAACTCTGGCTAGATTAAAAAAACAATGCTTTCAATTCAGGTTAGATTTTAACTTCTGTTATTTTATTTTACTTGGTCTCAAGCCCACTTTGTTAGCCCAGGCTGGTCTGAAATTTGCAGTGATTCTTCTGCTTTAGTCTCCCAAGTGCTGGGATTATAGGCATGTACTACTACACTCGGTTTTAGATTTTCATTTCTTCAAGTAATTCTTTAAATTTTTTCTGTTGTTAAGAGGCTGTCCTAATCTCTTTTTAAGTATTATAAAATATTTTTCACTGGTGGTAGTAAAGGAGCTTAAAGTTATTTCAAAGAAACAATCACAATAAATATTTTTACTTTGACTGTAAATATACTAAGGATCCATTAAAGCAAGTAATGTCAAGGACTGTTATAAAAATGTTAGCATTTTCAATAGGTTCTACTTTGAAATAATAGCTGCCTATTTTGATTATAGTTTACAGCAGAAATGTCTTTGAATATTCTGAATTGGTGATGTATTTTTTTATGCATTGTGTTTGGAATACACACATGTAAATCATTCAGTGAAACTGAATATGCAAATGAAGATAGAAGATACACAGGGCTCTTCATCAGCATTCAGAAGCCTAATGCTTCTACCATGATGGGCTAATAATGAGACAATTTTATATTATCTCACTTTACTGAAATTTTATATATCTCACTTATCTACAGTATTGAGGAGGACTGTTCAAACTCGTCCTGCTCCACGAATTCTTCCCACTGTGGACATAATTGAGAAGGAACAAAATTGGGAAAAGACTTTACCTATTGATACAGATATTCAGAATTCAAATGAAGAGAATCGACTGTTCACTCAGAGATGGAGAGTCTCTCACATGGGAGAAGATCTGGAGAACAAAACCCAGACACCTTTTGTTGACCTTGCACAGCCCCCGTGCAGTTCCCAACCCAGTGTTCAACAGATGAGAAATCCTGCACTGTCAGAAGATCTGCTGGTACTAGGAGATGGGCAGCAGCTTAGAACAAGCGAGTCATCCGTCCAAAGAAAGGACATAATGGCGCGGATTGCTGAGTTGACACTGCAGAATTCAGCCATCAAGGCACGTCTGAGTAAAACTGATGTGTCAGGAGGAGAGCAAGGTGATGGGCTGAACATACAGGAGTTGAACAAACAAGAAGGTGCCAATGACACGACTGCTGTGAGTACCAGTTAAGGATCAACTAGGGACAGACAGGAATTTAAGTTTGGGCATCTGAAGAGACGTCTTTGCAGAAATGATAGCTTTAAGGCTGCCACTAGATGGCTTATGCCTTGGCATGTCTTCATCACCAACGTAGGTAAAAATTACTTATTAGTTTACATTGCATATACAATAAGAAGACAATACGAAAGAAAAAAATATGTGTGAGGAAAACAGGACTAAGACAATGTGTGTAGAAAAGCTAAGATTAAATTAGGAATGAAGTTTTAAGTAATCTAGGTATGATGGTACATACCTATAATTCGAGCACATACCTATAATTCGACTGAGGCAGGAGGGTTGGTGTGAGTTCCCGGCCATCGTCCTGGGCTACATGAGTTTGAGGCCAGTTTGCTGAAAAAAATAAAAAGCTCTAAGTAACCTGCATAATAAACAACTACATTTTAGTCAAAAGTATTTTTCCTCTTGAAGTGGATCATACAAGAACAATTGACCCTTAACTCATGAACAGTTTACCTTTTAGAACACAGAATGCATTTTCCTTAGAAACAGTTCTTCAGAAAGGATCATTAAAATCAGATTTTAAAGTACATAGGAATCATCTGAAGATCTTTGTCTAAAACATGTCTCCAAGTCTTGGGTAGGACCTGTGAATTTCTAATAAGTTTTCAAATGATGCTTGTTTCTGAGGGCCACATTTTAAGTAGCAACAATCTGCTACAGTACCTGAATAAGCTTTGTGGGCTAATGTGGTAAATTAAACCTTCATTTCATCGTTGGAAGAAAAGGGATTCCAGGTTCCAAAGAGAGTGTGTCTAACATGCTGCCTCAGGCAGACCCTAATGATAGGAGGCACTTTCTTTTGCACTCTTCTTGAGCCAGGGGGCTCCTTTGAGGATTCCAAAAGGGAACAGTGCAATGTTCAGAGTGGGAAGGAGCTGGGGAGCCTCACCTTGGAATAGACACATTTGAGGTGGCTGTGTCCGTAAGAGCTGCTAAAGTAATAAATTCGAGTTTCACTGAGGACCATTGAGGGAGGGAGGGAGGAATTATTTTGTTTGTGAAATTATTTACCCCGAATGCAGACTCCTTGAAATTGCTGGGTAAATGATGGGCAGTATCTGTTAGCACTGGTTCACAGGGAACACGCACAGTGGCATCCAGTCACAGAATGGTAGAGGGGCTGGTGGCGGAGGAGCCAGGAATATAGGGCAGCTCTGTGGATACGGCTCGAAGTATGAACTGCTGCACTTTTTAAGTCACTATAAGACACTTATGTTTGCAGTTCTGAAGATTGTTTGAAACAGGTAACTCTTAGATTAAAAAAAAAACACAGTTAAATGTTAAGAATGTGTCCTTTGCTAATTAGTATATGCATCAGTCTAGAAAGGATAATCTAACATTTCTGTCCTCACCATCCTCTCATTTTAGTTGAAAATATAGACTGATCTTTAATTCATAGTTTTGCTTATTTAAAAAAAACTAGTAAGTATGAGCTATAATTAATTTCTGTTAGGAACTGGTTTTTTGTTTTCCCCAAAGGGACATATTTAACTCAATGAAATTATTGACATAAATACATTTTTCTTGGGAATTTTTCACATTAAATTTATGCTCCTGGGGGAGCTGTTTTTTACTCTTGTGTCCCATATTCCTCTCCAATTGCAGCAACTTTTGAATATGATTATCTTAGGCTAAGTGTGGCCTGGAGAGGCTGACACATCATCAGAGGGGGTGACAAGGTTCTCAGACGCTTTGCCAAATAACTCATGGTGCCTGTTTGAAGATTGTAACTATGGAAACACCTGTTTTAAATGCTTCTTTGTAATCTGTCCAACTTCAGATCTGTCATTAATAGGCGTGTGGCAGTTAGCTCAGTAGAAGTCACCTCATTGTTCCTGAGCTCTTTTGTGCAGCTCCATAAATGCTAAGCAATGTAGGTAATGCTGTGTCCCAGACTGTGCGCCTAAACTTACCGCAGTGTGGAGCAGCAGAAGAATCAAGTGTCCTTTTACTTTAGCCCTAATTCTTCAATTAAAAAATCTGTATTATTTGCCCACTATTTGCATTTGCTTATAACAAGGAGTATGACTATGAATTCTCTGGCACCTAGTAAAAAAGGCAAACTTGAATGCTATTTTTTTCCAATGTTGAATTTATGCCCTTATTCCCTTCCAAAGACTTTTCCAGCCGCACAGTCTGCAGCCCGAAGCAGCATGGAGGAACGGATTGCAGAGCTGAATCGACAGAGTATGGAGGCTCGTGGAAAACTATTACAGTTGCTAGAGCAACAGAAACTTGTTGGCCTGCATCTTTCCTCTCCACCGGTATCACTTGTTCATTCGCCCCTCAGAGCATGGACTGGTTGGTCACAAATTCATGATTTAAAAACTAGAAATATGGAGGTTTTCACTTTAAATTTTGCAAGTTCATGATAGTCTACTCTTAGGGTGTGTTAAATTTTAAGTGAAATGACAGAAATAAAAGCATTTTGTTAACCTTACAGCATTATCCAGGCAAAAAATGCTATCTTTAATTACAAAATTATTCTTAAGAATGACCTGCTTAATGCTTTGACTGCAATTGGCCCTGACATGATCTCATATAAACATACTAGAGACTGGTGTTGGTTGTCTGGCCCCAGTGTGAACACTGGAGCACTCAAAACCGTATGGCAGGAATGTGGTAGTGATCTGCAGTGAGAGTTTTTACCTGGTAGGAATTAAACCTTTTTGGAAAAAGATCTCAAATTCTTTAGGGTAGTCTCTTAACTTCTGATTTTTACTTCCAGATCTGACGTGCCAGCACTTGTCTGAAGTTTCTGGCTCTCTATGAACTGCAGGCCACTGAACTGACACTAGTACTAACGTTACACAGTTCATTTTTCAGAAAAATCCTGAAATTGTGTCTGTGGGTCATAAATGATAATAATACTGAAAAAAACCCACACTTGTAAAATAAGATTGAAATTCAATAAAATTTTATCGTATTGTCAGGTAATAAAACTACTTTTTTTCATATTTTAGAAGGAGGAAAGCAGACCACCGACGCAGGTGTACCGGGAGCAGAGGTCCCAGAAAGCACAAGAGGCAACGCTGTCTTGCCTATCAGTGGGACAAATGCAAGAAGGTGGGCTGCAGTGTGTGCAGCTCCTTGAAAAATGAAGGATGTGGTGTGGGTTTTATTCTCCTTGTAGTAAAAGGATGTGCATAATATCTGACTTAAAGTCAGAAAGACTCATAAAGAGAAAATAGTTGGAGAGGAGAACTTGGGGAGTAAGATGAGGGAAGAATACGGTTAAGGAGAAGATTATGGGCTGGCTACTGAAAATAAAAGTGGGCTAACCCCACACATGTAGAGAATTTATGAGTTACCAAATAGGCTGTAATACACGACAAGACGGGTAAATAGACTGGTAGTGTTCCTTTACAGCTGGTGAACTGCGGTTCACGGAGCTGAGTGATTTGCAGTGGGTCACGTGGTGACACTACAGCTGCAGCTGGCTTCTGTGTCTGCGCTGCATCCGCACGTGTATTGCACTGCTCTAGTTCCGTTCCTTTTCTACTGTCCTACCACCGCGTACCCACTTCCCCTGTAACATCAGCAGCTTATCTGTATGATATGGTAGTGGCGGGCACATTTGTCAGGATCCACAGAGTGTATCACATAAAGAGTGAACCCTAGTGTAAGGCATGAACTTTACTTAATGTATTAATACTGCATCATCGTTCGTAACAGGTGTGTCACACTAATGCAAGATGTGAATTAGGAGAACTGTTAGGGTGCAGGTGCAGGGACATGGGAAGTGTGTGAACTTCCCACTTAGTCTTTCTGTAAACCCAAAACTGCTCTAAAAAATAAATTGGTGGTGGTGGGGTAGGTGGGCGAAATCGTGTTACAAATAATTTTCCTAATTTGGATCTAAGTCAGCCATTCTTTTTCAAGGATTTGCCAGTATTAACAATTGTCATTGCTTCCATACTTTGTAAAGACTAATAATAGCTCATTTTTATTTCCTTTTTATTCTCATAAATAGATCTTCAGGAGCCACTAGTAATTCTTGCTCTCCCTTAAATGCCACCGCAGGAAGTGGGCGACTCACACCTATTAATCCAAGAGCAAAGGTACATTATAAAATGTAATTGTGAAATGTGTGTAGGGTCATGAGGGTAAGGATAGAAGGTGATTGATTTTAGTGATTTCCATCTTTAACTATTATTCCTGGTATCCTAAAATCTTCAGAAAAATACTATAATTCATTTTCATTAGAAAAAACAAGTCATCTAGTTCTGTTTTCTAGAGTAACTAAAAAATAAGGTAAAATTCAGTAGGATTTTAAGTCTTTTAAGATTGGACATTACTGGTTTCATGCAAGGCTTTCAAAAACCGTTGTAGGACATACAGGTGTACCCTAAAGGGGGTGCAGGGTACCGAGATGGTGGTTTCCCTAGCCTTGCTGTGACTAGTTGGAGTGGGGGACAACTAGAGCCTGGTGTCCAGGGATTTTATCCCAGTGTCTCAGGTTATGGCACAGAGCGTAAACAAATGTCTCATTTATTCTTCATGTTACCTATTGTATGTTACATTGTTGCAAGAATGTAATAAGCATTTCAGAGTGTATCCAAAATTTTACAGAAGGCATTTTTATTTTAATTTTTTTGTAAAAAAATAATAGTTCTTTTTAATGTTTTGTCATAGGAAATTGTGAAGATACCTTGAAAATCGTAAAACCACTTTTGGTAGGCCCAAACCAACAACTGATGGGGAGGAAGCTTTGCTAGTCTTACCACTGACCTCTGTCATTAGATCAGAGTGGGCATTTGTAGCCCAAATGAGAGGCTTCGCTGTTCCCATTTGTCTAGCACTAGATTTGACCTTTGCTATTTCTTATATTCTACAAAGGCTTGCAAATTAGCTATTTTATATAATTTACCACTTGTCCCCGTCACTTAGTAACATTTAATTTACTAAGATCAAGTAATTTCTTTTTATCATTTTAAAAAGTTGTACTTTTAAAACACTGGATTTGTCCATTTTAAAAGAAAGTAGGACTGCTCAATCAATTAGGGGATCTGTTGAGTAGGTAATCAGTTACTTGTTTCTATGTCTGTTAGACAAGAAACATTACCCCTCCCATTCAGTGACACAAGATGACTTTGTTGTATACTTTGTATAAATGATCTATAAATGTTGAGTAGTTTCATGTTTCTGGTTATCTTCTAACTCCTTTCTGCATCTTTGTTCAACAGATTGAAAAGCAAAATGAAGAAGGCTGGTTTGCTCTTTCTACCCACATGTCCTAAATGAAGCTGACGTCACCCTTTGGAGAATTCATTCTGGATACTTTATTGTTGACTGTACACTCTGTACACGCCCCTCTTTCTGCTCAGGCTTTCAATTTTGTTAGTCTTTCTTCAGATAAAACCTACAAAGATCCTGTGAATTAATACTAATGGAACAGAGAAAAAAAGCCATTTTTTTTTAGCCTTTTCAAATAGGTTTTCAAAAACCAACCAGTTCTCCCTATGAATAAAATTTGGCTGTAGGGAAATTAAAGTTTTAAATTCTAATAATTTCTAAAATATTTTAAAGTTGTTTTTTTAGGTAGCACAATTTTACCTTCATCATCATTATTCAGGTTTTTTGTTCAGTGCATCTTAAATGTGGATCTATTTCATTTTTTCCTGAAGGACTAAAATGTTTTGCGTGTGCTTGCAATAAAATACCTCTGTGTGGTTAGTCTAGTTTTCAGAAAAATGTAATACCTTTGGCTTCTTCTCTGTAGGGAAATTACTGCTGTCCAAGTAGAATGTACAGCTTTAAAAATTGGGTGTGGGAATGTTTATATTTGCTTAAGTTAAGAATGATTGTGTAAATTCTAAGAATCTTGATTTAGTTTTGAAATGTGAAATACCAAGACTGATAATGTGCATCAAATAAAGAATGATCATAGAACTCAAATGTCTAAATGTAATAAATGATTTTGTGGTATATTTAGTGTTTGAAACAATTCCTTGAATACAAAACATTTCTATCAGTTTTCCCAGTTCACAGTCTAAGCAGATTGTAAAGACAGGTTTTTCTTTTAGGCATCTGTTTCGTTCACAAATGTTGGTTTCTATTTTCCAATTGCTTTTTGAATGATCTCTGACCCTTGACTCTTAGGAGTTTTCAGCTTGAGGGGGTGTGGAAGGGCAGGGGCGTCCCAGGGAGCTTCTCTTATGCCACCTTCCTCTCCTCTGGAGTTGTGAGTCACTGGCCTAGAGATAATTTCCTTTTAGCATTGCTGATTTATTAATGTTATTTTGCATTATGGGAGATTCTTCAATCTATATTGCAGTTTTACCTCTTGAAACTTGATATTTAATAAATTCTATCCCTGTGTATGATACAAAAAATTTTTAGTGTTACTCCTTATCAGAATCTCAAGGTACCTACTTGTTTTACGAATGCATTCTGTTTGAGAAGTATTTTCCTTCAGGTTTTTCAGCTGATTAGTTCCTTATTTTCCCCAACCCCAGTGCTTTGAACTTCAAAATCCATTACAATTAACTGGGAGAGCTTTTAAATACCAAATGACCCCGAGGGCTCAGCCTGTATTTTGTGTGTTAGTCTCTCTTCAGATAAAACCTACAAAGATCCTGTGAATGCAGAGAAAAAAAGCCATTTTTTTAGCCATTTTTTTTAGCCATTTAGCTGTGTGTACCCAGCGTCCTGCAATACAGAAGCCCACAACCTACAATCTTATTTACGCTTTAAAAGCTGGCAGAGATACTAAAGTTTAAAACCAACCAACCAACAACAAAAACCCACTACACCCTCTCCCCCACGTTCCACCCCGGGTTTTATCTTTGTGCAGTTGGTGCTGCTGACAGGCTACTTTTTATCACGAGAACCCCCACCCCCGTCTTTTAAATGTCCTTGACAAACAATACTTGCCTAGGAGCTTTGGATTTCAAGTTAAAACTTCCCAACGCAAGACCGCTCGTGCAATCTGACCCGGGCCCCTCCACACCACTTGAGAATGTTAGGCAAGTACAGATGTCATTTAACTATCAACGCAGCGTCCTTCAGCAGATGATGAACGCACAGAACCCTGGCTGTTTCGGGTTTGTTCTGGACCGCGGCATCAGGATCCAGGACACTCTGCTCCGGAGCTAACGCTGGCGCTGGACTGCGCATGCGCTGCAGGCCCGGCTTGTCTCCGCCCACCAGGAGCCTCAGTTTCCGTGGCGACCGCGGTAAACTAGGTGTCCGGAGCTGCAAACTTAAGACTGCTATCTCGGGTAAGTTTAGGCTCCTACAGCTGGGCTCTCCCCCTAATTCTGTTAGTGACTCAGCAGTGGAACCCGCTAGGACTGAACGAACCAGTATTCTCCAGGTATCTTTGTTCTCCTTAAGGTAGTGAACAAACATCCCAGGTGACCAATTGAGAATAGTTATTGCAGGCACAGTTCCTGCCTGCAAAGATTTGCAGTGTGATCCAGGTAGGCAGAAGTGTGTCCTGGGTCGGCCTGAGAGCCAGTACTCTGGGGGAGTCTGGTGAGAAAGTGCTTGGGCTCTGAGGTCAGTGAAGTCCCCATTCCCCATACGCAGCTGAGTACCACGCTTGGCAGATTGGGTCCTCAGCACTTACTTCCTCTCCACTATAAAGGAGGACAGCAGTGCTTACCTCGAGTTCAGACTGTAATTAAGCAGGATAATTCAGATCGAGTGCTTAATGCATAGAGGGAATCAGTATTCAAAGAGTAGCATACAGGTGCTCAGTGTTCTCAGTCAAACATGCTTCGTTCTGTGTACCCAGCTGGCTAAAACTTTTGACTGGCAAGTGCTAAAGAGGGACTAGAACAGAGAGGGAGAGGAGATGAACTACAAAAACCTACCAGCCCTAAGACGAAAGACTTCAATGCCATGCCAAATAATGGTGTAAAAACTCAGTTATTTGAGTTTCTATTTGATGGAAACGAAGAGCCATTAAAGTAGAGTGGCATGTTAAAAATGTTCCAGAAATACAAAAAGCAGGGTGGAAAGTGACTCTGATAATGGCTGAGGTTGGACACAAAAAAATCAATTACAAATGGTGACAGTGGGACCAGGTAAGAGGGGACACATTAAAAGAATTTAATAACTGAATACTTGGTAACAGATCTTGGAAATCAGCTGCTTAAGTTGGGTGAGAGGGAAGGATTCAACGAATAATTGCTTTCTCATCTGTAAAATTTCATAATTATAATTATGATAGTATATTATACAATGTTTTAAAAATATATGTGTAGAATTTCTTAAAACTTGCTTCACACATGGTAAGCATTTAGAAAACATACACTATTCTTATTTTTCTCCAGTTTGCAAAGTCAAACTGAGTTTTAAAACTACAGCCCAATGATTAAGAAAGTTGGCCATAGATTAACAAACAACCCTGAGAGTCCCGCCTAGCTAGGAGAGCTGTGTAAGATGGGATATGGTGAGGAAGGTACAAACAGACATGAACCTTTACATAGAACACCCCAAGATTACACCAGAGGACTCTTACAACTAATGAGCAGCTTTAGCAAAATAGTAGGATACAAAATAGACACACAAAGATGAGTAATATTTCTGTATACCAATGATGAAACTAACAAAAGAAGAAAAAACGGGCCAACAATCACATTCACAGTAGCTTCAAAAAACTTAAATACTTAGGAATTAATCTAAGAAAGTAAAAGCCTCTATAATGAAAACTATAGTACTCCAAAAAATAAAGATTGAGGAGGGCATAGTCAAGTGGCCCTAGCACCAAAAAGTGATATGTAAATTTAATGCAATTCCAATCAAATTACCAACAACATTCTTTAGAAAACTAGAAAAAGGAAAAAAATGTATGTGGAACCAAAACATACCTAGACTAGCCAAAGTAATTGTTATTGTTTAGATCTAAAATGTCTCCAAAGGCCTCATGTGCTCACAGACAAGGCTTTTGGAAGAGGATTAGACCACAAGGGTGCTGTAGTTAACTTGCTGTTAGGAAGTGGGTTCTGGCTAGAGGAGGTGGGTCACTGGGGGCCTGACCTGGATGGCGGATTTCCCTTCCTGCTCCTCCCTTCGTTTTCTCTACTTCTTGGCCTCCATAATGTGAGCAGCTTTCATCTTCTCAGGTCTCTTCTCTATTCCACTGACCATGCAATGGTTGAGACTTCTAAAATTATAAGCTAAAATCAACTTCTCCATTAAGTTGTGGGTAGCATGTATTGTGTCTCAGTGATAAGAAAGTGACTAAGTCAGCAGGCCTGAGCAAAAAGAGCAAAGTAGGAGGCACTATAGTCCTGGATTTTAACTTATGCTATAAAGCTATAATAAGAAAAAGAACAAGATGCTAGCACAAAAACTGACCTGTTGACCAATGGATTAGAGATGAGATTGTAGAAACAATGCCATGCACCTTCAGGCCTATGAATTTTGACAAAAGGGCTGAGAACATATGCTGGTGAAAAGATAGTCTCTTTAACAAATGGTACTGGGAAAACTGGTTATCCACATGCAGAAGAATGACTCTAGACCTGTATCTCTTGTACTCAACTCCAAATGGATCACAGAGCTACATAAAAACAAAAACATTACATCTTCTGGAAGATAAAATTGGTAAAACTCAAGCTGGGGCTGTAACTCAGCAGCACAATGCCTGGCTGGCAGGCATGAGTACCCCTCCCAAAAAAGGTAAAACTCTTAAAGACTGGGGGATAGGCAAGGACTTTCTGAATAGGGTCCCAGGTGCACAAGAAAGAATACCAAGAATCAACAAATGGTATCACATCAAAGTAAAAGGCTTCATCACAGCAAAGAAAACTACCAACAAAGTGAAAAGACAACCTACAGAATGGAAAAAATGTTGCCACTTACTCCTCAAATATATAAAGAACTAAAAAAATTAGACCCTCCCAATCAAAAATGAGTAATTGAAAAGAATATGTGTATCTCAAAAAAAGAAAAACAGATGGTAAATAATTATATGAAAAAAATGTTCAATGTGTCTGGTTACTAGGGAAAAGCAAATTGAAGCAACACTGAGATTCCATCTTTCTTCAGTAAGAATGGTTATCATCAAGGACTCAAAAACAATAAATGTTGGCAAGGTGTGGAAAAAAGAAACCCTTCTACACTATTGGTGGTACTGCAAACTAGTACAACCCTTGTGAAAATCAATATAGAGGTTCCTCAAAAACTAATACTAGAAATTCCATTTGACCCAGCTATTCCTCTTCTAGGTATGTTCCCAAGACAGTTAAAGACATGATATACACTGCGGCATGCACATCTATTTAAGTAGTACCATTCATAGTAGCTAAATCTTGGAAGTGGCCTGTGTGCCCATCGACGATGAATGGATAAAGAAAATGTGGTATTTATATTCAGTGGAGTACGATTCAGCCTCAGCGGAGTGATTTACAGGAAAATAGATGATTCTTGAGATTACAAGAAGTGAAATAAATTAGATATAGAAGGTTAAATATCACGTGATTTATATGCAAAACCTAAAATATAATTTAAATAACAAAAATGACGGGAAACAAGGAGGTAGATTTTGTGGAAGTGACAAGGGGAATTAGGGAAGGAAAACAGTTGGGCAGGGATAATGAGGAGTAAAAATGATCAAGCTGAGATTTTGTGTATGTAATAATTCCCCCAGTATGAATGGAATTATCATGTGTTATAAACATATACTGATAAGAAGAAAAAAAACGGGCGATGCAAATGAGGTTAGTCATTTGAGTTGGCTATAGAGTGGTTGTAAATATATGATACACCTGTCTGCTTCCTGCCTGCAAGGAATCCAGTGAATGTCCTCAGCACGTGGAGTGATTGGGTGAAGTGACATTTCCTTCCTTCTGGAAAGTGTCCAGACCCTACCAAGAGATACAGAATTGAAAGGCACAGTTGAAGCCCTGGAAATGAACTTGCCAAGTTATTTTGATAGGAAGAAA